ACGACCATAGGGTGTGGAAAATAGGGCTTCCCGTCCGCTCAGCCGTACTCAAGCCACACGCCGGTGAGTTAGTAGTTGGGTGGGTGACCACCAGCGAATCCTCACTGTTGTATGTTTTTGCTTTTTGCTATTTTTGTCCTATTTATTGGTCTATAACCCCCATCCGATCGGAAACCCAGGAATTTCCATTGATATCCAAGTGTAATAATAATAATAATAATAATAATAATGATAATAATGTACACTATAGTACATACAAATAACCCTGCAAGCCTTCCGTCACGGCCCGGGCCGTAGATACTTTAGCGTAGGCTTATTTAAAGTCTGAAAGTTTCAATTGCATACCTAGTGTCTGGACTCTGTACCCTATGTGGTCTGGGTCTAGTACTATGTACTGAAGAGAGATATGTCTTCAAATTAAATGCCATATCCCGCAACAGGTACTCGAGCTGTCCCCGAGGTTGGGGTTTCACCTGGTTAAACCGATTGAGTATAACAGCTGTCAAGAATGGGATATGGCCCCTCTAGGCCCTAAGCAAGAACCTTCGTTCTTTTTATAGTCTAGTGTAAATTACGCTACACGAATTTCGTCAACAGTATCTACAGATGTATGGTATCTCTCAAGATTCGGTAATGTGAGAACGGGGAAAGAAGCAAGAACATATGAATTTAGGAAATATTCATCACCACTCAAGCATTATAACAGTAGTACACAACTTGAAGACAAACGGCAACAACTTGCCTGCGTGCACACATACCATAGACCAGACGTATTGTGTAAAGGTTCGCAAAGGATGAGTCTTATTGGAGCTGCACTCGCCTCAGTGACGATGTAATCTCTTTTTTATTTGAGATCAGTCTTCTCTTGCTCCCAGAAGAAAAAGACCCGGAAGTTGGACATGAGCGGTGTAAATTGGTCGGTGATGTTTTGCAGGACTTCAGATTCCTTCTCGAGTGCATTGACCAATCCTGATTCAAGGTCTATAGCGGCTTTGGGGGTTGCAATCGATACAATCTTTTGAAGACTACTAAGAATATTCGCTTTGCTGGATCCTTGATGCGGAGTGCCGAAGAAGAGGATAGCAAATGTACAAACGTAAATTGAATATATGTGAGTGAGTCTAACGCGACTCTCTGCATACGCCAAGGCCTATTCATGGTTAGCCAAGGGAACAATATTGGTCTTTACAACTTCCTTGTATGCAATCCTAAACAACTTACTCTTTTCACGATTATGCCGCCTAGGGAATGGCATACAAAAATGATGGGCCTTTTCGCTGCATCTTCGAGCTAAAACCGTCAGCAGGGCTTCATTCATATAGACTCGGACAGTTCCCTACATCCCTATCAGCCTCTAGTTGAGAGACTAATGTCTGCGCATGTTGTAAAACCCTGTCTGCGCTGGGTGCCTTTCCGTTCTGTGAGAAGATGCTCGCATTATAGCCCCATACTAAAACCCGGGCACGGGGGATGTATCTCGGGAGGAAAGATGCGTTGCTCAGCCAACATATTTCTTGCGGCTTGGATGTCCATGACCCTGTCGCATGGCCATTGAGCCCATGGACGGCAACAATGCTAGTTATTGTCAACGAGATCCATCATTTCAATGATAACTAAGCACTCACTCAACCTCAACTGGCTCCCCACACGATCGATATAACTCTTGGATCCCGTAAATTTGCTTAGGAAATTCTTTGTTTCGACTCATTGTCATGGATTTTCAAGTTGAGTGTCGAATGTGGAGTAATAATGTTGTTGAGAGTTGGTCAAGGTAGGTTGAAGTGCAATTTTGGTATTATTCAGACCCCTCATGAGGGAGGGAACTTACCATTGGCCTTTTATTGGACATCTCGCCAGTGTGACCCAATTTGTACTGCATTAGCGTACACACTAGTGGAATGAAAAATGATTGGTGAAACACTTCGCTTTGTACTACATATCGCGATACATGATTCTTGAGGTGGGTGGCTGTCTACAAGAACCTGCCTCCTTACTATGTAAATCTCTCTTCCTTCCATAGCCGCCCATATACGATCCATTCTCTATGAGCCCCATTCCCAATGACTATCTTTTAAGGACTTCCACTCTGCATCCTTCAGCACTCGAGAGAACTAATGTTAGTCGCTGTCTTTCGGTTCCGACAGGCTGATTTGGCTCTCCCGATGGCAACATAATCTGCGGGAATGTCTGTAGCATCCTCACGATTGTGTAAGAGATTTCCATCCGAGCAAATTCCTCCCCCAAGCATTGACGGGGCCCGCGGCTGAAAGGAAAGTAGGCCCAGCCAATATTGTCAAGTTCGCCGGTTTCCCATCGCTCAGGACGAAATTCATATGTATCAGGGCCGTATATATTTTTTTCCCTTGAATTCACGTACTGTGAATAAACAACAAGTTCACCCTTTTTCACTAAGATGGGTTTATCACCGTTTGGCCCACCACCTGTTGGTAGAATAGTGGTTTCCACTGCTTCGCGATTGTTCAGTGGAACAGGGGGATATAGACGCAGGCCTAACGGAAAAAATTAGATGTCTACCTGTTTCACCAAAAATACAGACAATTGGGACTCACTTTCTTTGATCACAGAATCAAGATATCGGATCTTTTTTATCTGTTCCCGACTTGGTATGGACTCGGTCCCCATGACAGAAGAGATCTCTTTTCGCAGACGTTCCATGACACTCGTATGACGGACAAGTAGTCGACTTACCAACAGCATAATATGGTCAGCACGAGCGGAAAGCCTGGAAGATATCTCTGACCGTGTGATACATACAATGTCCAAGATAAACAGCGCCGTTGTATCTCTTCCAGCGAGCAAAACATCCAGTAGCTGATCACGTATATTTTTCATCCTTTCGGACTCATCAATAGCCTGTTTGTTGGGCCCAGCCCGCTTCTCGTTGTTGTTTTCCGCGGTCCCCAAATACGACTCCTTAGCAATCTGTTTGATGAAGCCATATCGGTTCTCTTGATTGCTGTCCACGGTCTCCAAATCAAACTCCGTAATGTATTCTTCGACAAAGCGGTGGACATTAGCGCATGCTTTCCGGAAGGCTTCTGAGCTATAGAGATTATGCCAAGGTGAAGCGCTTGGCAAGGCCCTCTTGCGCGATGTTGAAGCTTTCTGCAAAGAGTTTATTATGTTGATACTGGTCAATACCAGCCCTCAAAGTGTAGACCGATCTACCAAAAAGGAGAGCCGTTGCGATGTCCATGGTCAAATCAAAGAAGGGAGGCTGGAGATCAACACCTCCACTTGAGGGTAGACGATCGATTAGATTGTCGACATGTTCGCGGAACTGGTCGAAGTTCTGAGATTGGACATTCTTGAATTGTTTATGCAGAAGTTCTCTCGAATGCTGCCATTCAAACCCCTCCTGAGTGAAAATGCCATTCCCAAGCAGGGGCGCGAAAATTTGGGGCCTGACTCCGAACCCATAATCTGATAAAAAAAAAAAACACCAGTGAGCGAACGAGCCTATGCTTTTATTTGAAAAGCAGAATATGGAGGATAGTCAGCTTTGAAGTTCTTAGACAAAACGACCTCAAGGTTCTTGGGATGTAACACGTGAAAGGCTCTGGGTCCAAACAGCAGATATTGAGTGAGGTTGTTCTGGGGCTCATAATCTTCTGCTATTTTGCAAAGATATGCAAGGAGTCGACCTTCTGCGTTTGTTTCCCAGAGATCCTTGATGCGATCAATTCCAAATGGCCATCTCTTTGGAAGTTCGAGTGGTAATTCGCAGCCCTTTTGGGATCCCCAAATAGAATCACGCCGGCAAATCATCAGCAATGGAACTCAAAATGTCAACATTCTCACATACCCGATAGCTCCTGAATTTTGCAAAAGAGCGATAGCATATTTGGCAAATGATAAACGTAACGACAGCCCAGATCAGATACTTCTCAATCATATTTTCTTAATTCTTGTTATGATTTCGAAGGTCTTGGGGGGCTGGGAAGAAGTTTTGTATATAGTACCTCCAATATAGGTGGCTGTTAGCGCCCAATTCATAGGCGAAATGCACTGTAAGCACTAATGCAGTTTATATTACACGAGAATAAGACAAGGGCGGAGAAAACGGTAAATCCCCTTTTCGATAGGCTCAGAATCACGCAGATCACAACCTTGATGGGTCGATCGTGCATATGCCTCAGAATACATTCCATGCGTTTGCCCGGGTGTTCTCAATTCCCCCATCATGAACTCCCGCACGTGCTTAGGAGTCCAGCTCCTTATCATCGCTATGTCAATACATGTCTCTCTGTAAACAGCGATCAGAAATCTAACCTTGCGCGATGCCATTAGGCCTTCATGTACTTCATTCGCACAACATTAGCCATCGTGCGGCAGATTTGGATCAGAATGCTGGTGTTGAGTGAGAAGTCCTAATCGTCTCTATGGGGTTGGGCGTATTACATCGCTAACAAAGGATTCTATAGTATCGTCGCGGTCCATGGCTTGGGGAAAAACTCGTTAGAGACATGGACACATCATGAAACGGGTACTTTGTGGCTGAGAGACCTTCTGCCACGGAGTATCCATAACGCACGAGTTCTCACATTTGATTATGACGCAAGCCCTTCCCTTTATACTGGAAAAGACTCCATGGACAGAGTTCAGAGTCAAGCAACTACCCTAGTGGCAGACTTGGAGGCATCATCGTGAAGAGTGCGCTCGTTCATTCAGCGAGTCGAACATCCCATTTCACATCACACCTCAATGCTATATATATCTCGACTTTTGCCATCTTGTTCTTCAGCACCCCCCATGATCAGATCGATGTTGGGAAATGGATTGCTTCAAGTACATCGTCATCGACATCGAACTTCTTAACTCGCCGAGCGAAGGAGAGAATTAGCATGCCTGAAATGCCAATCACTGTGCATGCCTTAGACATCATCACAAATCAGTTCGCTCCACTCATGAAGGAGGTCCACATGTACCTTTTTTGGGAGGGGCTGAGAACACAGCTTACGAGCGGCGCGGAGTTTATGGTAGACCCGTCCTCTGCCGCTCCACATCTGTATGATACAGAAAGATGTGGAATTCCGAACTCCAACCACTCAGATATGACGAAGTTTCACCAATCTGACTCTGCCTATCGGACAGTTATATCTGCCCTGATGAAGTACTGCTACTCGGCTCCAGCAATTGTCACATATCGATGGAAAGAGGCAATGGGATCAATGATGCGGATGCGAAGAAACGAAGCCTGTGAATTAACGGGCCTGTTTCTTGAAATTCCGGATAAAGTCCCGATCCCCACGGAAAGCAATACTGAAGCTATCGAAGCCGCTTTGCAGAATGAACATTTCCACCCACCATACACCGTTTCCATGGATTTTATAGGTCAGGAGGACATCATGAATGCACTCCAGGGTGCCTTTGAACCAGAAGACCAGACATTGATGGATAAACAGCAAAAGCGATTTGTCGTCTATGGAATTGGGGGATCTGGGAAGACACAAATATCTGCAAAATATGCCCAAAGCAACCGACAACAGTAAGTATTCGAGCACCTAAATATCGAATCTCGCTCACTGACATATTCTTTGTTCAGTTATTAGGCAATCTTCACTATCGATGCAACTTCGGCCCAAACCGCGAAAGAATTATTCTGTAAAGTCGGACGTATGGGGGGTCTCGAAGCCACCGAAGTCTCCGGTAAACACTTTCTTTCCCAAGCTCGAAAGAATTGGCTGCTCATAATCGACAACGCGGACAAGCCTGACCTAAAGTTCGAAAACTTCATTGTGCCTAGAGAAAGAGGTCATATCCTCGTAACTACAAGAAATCCCAGTCTTCAAAGGCAAGGTAACGTCGGGAGTATGGAGGTCAAAGGTCTCAAGCAAAGAGATGCTCTCCACCTTCTCATGAAAGTTGTAGATATTATACCGCCATGGGATTTATCCTCGGAAACGGCAGCAAACGAGATTATCAAGACACTGGGATATTTAGCCCTTACAGTCATTCAGGCAGGCAACTCAATTTACAACAAAATATATAACTTAAGTGAGTACCTCGGGTTTTACAGACGCTTCTTAAAAAATCGCCAGAGAAGAAAATCCGTTTCAAACACCGAAGATATTATCGGTGGGAAAGTCGAGAATAATGATATCTATTCCGCGTTTGATTTTTCATTCCAACACATCGTATCCAATAATACGATCCCAAGTCAAGATACAGTAGAGATCCTCAACATTGTAAGCTTCTATCACTTTGATAATATACGAGTTAATATCTTCGAAAGAGGCATGAGCCTTAAGCGAAGCCAGTTGCGTCAATATCTAACCAGACCCCTTCGGGAAGGATTTGTACAAGCTATTATCAGTCGCTTCAGACCACCTCGGGCACTTCCCCGAATACTCAAGCAAAGCGCGGATGATATGCATCCATTGTACATCAGAGAGGCTCTTCGCGAGTTGTATTCGTCCTCATTAATAACATATGAAAATGACGAACAGAGTTTCTCATTACATCCTTTGGTCCATGCTTGGGCAAGAGACCGCATACCCCCTATGGAGAAGAGCCTCTGGGCAATAATTTCCTTTCATACACTCATGGCCTCCATACCACTCCCTCCGATGGAAACGGGGGAGTCCCACACTATTTTTCGGAGGAGTCTAATTCCTCACCTTAACGAATGTCTAGAGGCCTATCCGATAGAGTTTAGAGAATTCTCTAGGCTACACATTGGAAAATACCGTCGATTTACGTTACTATTCCAGCCCACTTTACTGTTCTCAATTCAAGAGATGATTCAAAACGCTGCAAAGTGTGGGATTCTACACGCCGAGAAAGGTGATTTCTCGAAGTCCGTATATTACCTTTTTCTGGCAAAGGAGTCGCTGGTTACGCTTTTAGGCCCGAACGACGCAAAGATAATAAACACAATATTAGGATTGGCCAGTATACTTTGGGATCTAGGGCACTTAAAAGAAGCCATAGCCTTACAAGAACAGGTTGTCGAGTCGCAACAGAGATTCTTAGGACCAGATTATCGTAAAACTCTACTAGCTATGGACTCCCTTAGTCACTATTTCTGGCTCAATAGACAATATTATAAAGCTCTTCAACTTCAGCAATAAACTGCCGAGAAAATGCAGGCATACCTTGGCGAGGGAGATGACGACACACTTAAAGCGCTTGATCACTTAGGTGTCACATTAGGCTCTTAGCACCGGTTTAGAGAGAGTAGAGACATACATCAGAGGGTTCTGGAAATTCGAATACAAAGTCTAGAGGAGAGTGACTTAAGGGTCCTTGAAACGAAGAACAATCTAGCGATGGCCCTATATGATCTAAAAGAGCTTGATGACGCAATATCCTTGATAAAGGAAGTCTATAACGGCCGTAGGGCCCAGATAGGCAAAGAGCACCCCTACACTCTCTAGGCGCTATGCTACCTAGCGAAGATATACACTGAAATGGGAGAGTTGCAAAAATCCGAGGATATTCTCATCGAGGGCATCGCTGCTGGTAAACGAAGTCTTAGTGAAGATCACCTTGGGGTTTTGATGGGCTGCAGGGAACTTGCTCGAACTTATTCTCGTCAGGGTCGCCTGGACGAAGCTGTGAAACTGATTATCACGACCATCGAGAAGATGAAGATTTTTCAAGGTAGCGAGCACCCCGACTACGCTACCGTAATGTGGAGTTTGGGCAAGGTATGGGAGAAAAAACAGGAGCAAGCCAAGGCAATCAATGCCTACCAAGTCGTGTTAGAAGCGACAGAAAAGAGGTTAACAACAGAGCATCCGCTCTACAAGATTATCTCGGATCGCATCATTCTCCTAACAGAGGGAGCTCACAGCAATGACTACAAAGAGGCTACAGAAAATGGCTCTGTCACAAATGGCGGTGAGGATCTGCGAATCAAACGTTTGCATAATACGCAGACATGGTAGAAATAGCATGCCTAACTAGTCCCTTTGATGTGTTACTATTGATGAAGTTGATGTTCTATTGATTAATATTTTCCCATGTATTCCGACATCTTTGTCGTCACCTCGTACATCAACCGGAGATAGATATACTTGGAAGGCTAAGAGTCTAGCTACACGACCTTTCTTTAAATTCCGCCCTACATATTCAACGGTTCTTTTGATTTAGTGTTAGAGCTGGTTTATTTCCACGAATCTGGCGCCACATTAAGCCCTAGCTTACCCCACCCGCTGTACTGTCTCGTCCTTCTCTGATTCTTATTGAGTTTTCTAGTATATAGACTGTATTTCAACTTACTCTACTCACGTTAATGTAAAATCTTTCGACCAGTTTCCAGCTCCTTCACCTGCTTTTGTAACTGACGACGCTTCCTCCGGACCGATATTTCCTCCCCAGCAATCTGTTCCAATTGTTCGTGTGAAAGGTTATAGACCCAGGAAGGGGAGAAGAGTTTCATAGGCGCTGCAGGCCCGGTTACCAAATGGTAGTCTGCCGCTTGCATACACATATTGTCCGTGAACCTCTTTCGAGCGACCTTGTAGTACGACTTCAAGATATCATGGATGTCTTGCACAGTTTGTTGCAAATTACTCATGTGGTAAATTTGCTTAAGGTCAGAAAGCCGAACATAGTGGTTTCTAGGCTGGTCCTCAGATTTGGCGGCTACTGATACCCCCCGGGCTGCAGTTGTGATGCGTTCCTGGCGACTAAAAAGAGATTAGCGATTTATAATTGATAATGGGCATTGAATCTCACCATTTTTGCAAATTGCTATTTAGGTAATGATTTAGGGTCATTGGAGTTCCTTCCCTTTCAATTCGAAGGAGAAAATCCGTCATTGAAAGGGCTTGTTGATATTTCTCAGTGAGGTCTTCCATCAGAAATGAGAGGATGTTTTGACTAAGCCTCTGATCTCCACAGGATATATTCAATGCCTTACGCGTAAAAATGTGAACCATAGATATGACATCACAAATGTAGCCTTCCGCCAGAATGGGCCATCTGGCAGATTGTTTCTTCAGCACGGTTGAAAGGATGGCCGAATTGAATGTTCCCAACTCAAAGCCCCGGGATTCCTGATAGAGCTTTTCGATCCAAGGGAGAATACCCTTTTCCAGAGAATTTTGGATTTGAACAGGGTCATGAAGAATGTCTTCGATATCGCTGCAATTATTGAGCTTTCTGTTGGGGACAAAGTTCTCCCGTTCCTCTTCGACTTCGTGAAAGTCTATGCCAACGCAGGCAGAGGTCGCAGTGGTGCTTGATTGATTTTCAGAGTCATCGTCATGGCCATGCGAGTTGAAGCAGTATACATGGCCGCGAGAAGAAAAGTCATCAGGAAACTGTGCATTACGATTGGCAACTAGAGTTGCCAATCGTAAATCAGCTTCGTCGTCAAAAGCATCTTGCGATCCATGGTTTGTATGGAGAGCATCCTCAGTGATACGCTGAAACTTTGACACGATTTCGAGCAGATATTTGCTCTGTTGCTCGGGGGATTCACGCTCTTCTCCGAGGTTTGCAAGGCTTCTTTTGCATTCTTTGAGACGTTTCGAGACTTCAGATCGTACCTATCACTCATTCACGGATCAGACGTTGTATGCCAGTACTTCAGAAGAACTAACCGACGGAAACTCTCGCCGCACGTTAGAAGCCAATAATGCTTGCAACCGCGTTCTCAAAGCCTCGATACCGTAATTATCGTTTGAGATACGGTTCCAAGGAGGCGAATTGCGGAATATCTCTTCTTCGACATCACGGATCTTTGAAGAGTCCTGGAGGTCCTTCTGACCAAGGTTTCGAACTACCACCCAGCCTAATTCTTGAGACTCTTGCTTCCCTTCGACAAGTTCAATGATCTTGTCTTCTGTACCTTTATCGACAAGGTCTGGCTTTGTAAGGATCCGTAAGGTTCTCGTTCCATTCGGGTCTAGCTCTCTCGAGATTTCGATTATCTCTTGTGTTGCAAGGTCCACATTGGCTGGAACAACGGCAAGCATTATTGATCGAGGATTGCGCATGTAGTTGAGCACCATGTCCCTCACAAGGGCGATATCTGACTTTGAAGTCAAGCCAGGTGTTGTCGTTTTGAAAATCCCAGGAACATCAATGACACTAAGATGATCCTCATGAGGTCCAATTATCTTCAACCGAAGAACGTCGGCAGAAAATGTAGGCAGTTCGTCCTCCATTGACGCTGATAGGCCCATCGCCACATGAACCTTGAGAGAAGCTTAACTTTTTTTCATTGACTGTTATGTTCAGGGAGAATATCGACCCACCTCAGCCATCATAATCTCGAATTCGTTCTCATTCAATGACTCAATTTCAGATCTGCTCCAACTAGCATTTGCATTTCCATTCTCGTGTCCTGCCGAGATGATGGAACCAGTGATTATCCGCGCTTTCAAGTTAGGATCTCTGCGAAATATGATCTGCGTCGCAAATCGAGTACACAGACCACTGTTCCGGGGGAATTTCAATTTTGTCAAGCCCTCTAAGACGGAGCTTTTTCCGCTCGATTGATCTCCGACAACGACCAATTGTGGTAGGTTGATGTATTCTCCCACATTGCAGGCGAATAATTTGTCAATTTTTTCAAGCAGAGCAGGGTCCGCTAGCACCACTTGCGCTTCCTGTTTGATCGTCATGCTTTGTTTGTAGTAGAAAACTCACGGACTAATCATCAATATTTATATATATAATCAGGATGTTACATTCCTCGGCACAGATCTTATCCTTCTCGTTAGAATTTGTTGTTGTAACGTTGCACCTCCCTTACATGGCTGTACTGAGAGTATACCACTGAGACAGAACTTTACACCCAGTTTCTAGGCACTTCCTTTGCCGCTCCTAGCAGCGTGAACCTCAATAATCATCAATATGAGTATTAACCCATCACTCCTTGCATAAGACCTTCCCGCAAATTGCCCAATCACTCCGGCCAAATGAACTCCTCTGGTCCCAAGTATGGTGACTTAGGATTGCGGGATCGATTTTTTTCAGCACTTGGGGGTTCGAGGGGTCATTCAGGGGTTAGCGGGGTTGGGAAGTGGAGGGCGCTGGCTGGTAGTGACTGTTCATTTGGTTACCAGGCTTATGTATGAGATCGTCGATGGGGTACTTGTGACAGGACGAAATACTTGCAGTCATTAGGGAACCAAGCCACGATATAACAATGCAACGGATGCAAGGAGTTGTTGGGAATCACTGCTAGGCAGCCCCGGAGTATGGACGAGGAGGCACCGAGAAAGTGCCTAAGTATGGCACATAAGCTATCCGATGGAGACTGTCACAACTGTCTCACCGGATCTTTTATTCGAATTGCGTTTATTTCTTCGACTTCACCCTATGTGATCCATCCCTAGCATTGGCCACATCGTCTTGGCCAAGTAGAGCTCTAATGCCCATGTGAGAACCCGACGCCAATCATTCAATCCTCTTTTCCTACCTGCGTGTGTTGTCAACATCACGTGGGCAGCGTACGCTCACTTAGAGAATGAAATACACACGCCAAAGAATGGGTTTTTATGTATATTGGGAGTGTGACAAAGAAGCTTCATTGGTGACGGGGCTTTGGAATGAGGAATGAGATTATGTCTATAAAAATGTAGTGGCGCATAGGTATGGTGAGTGGCCGCTTGAATGATCACCCCAGGCTGTTCTTCGCAACGGCACTCGGAACTCCCAATTTTTGTGATCTACCTTAAGGCCCAGTGGTCCAACTGTCAATGGGTTGGTTGGGGTGCGCAGCTCGCTTACCGAATACGTTATTTTTTTTTCTTCTCATTCTCCACTCAGCTTTGACATTCATTTGCGACGGGAACTCCGTATGTTGTATAGAGTTCCACAACGGAGCCTAAAATGAACATGCTATTATTGCTATACTGAGTAAACAAAAACAAAAACAAAAACATACAACAGTGAGGATTCGCTGGTGGTCACCCACCCAACTACTAACTCACCGGCGTGTGGCTTGAGTACGGCTGAGCGGACGGGAAGCCCTATTTTCCACACCCTATGGTC